CGACGGGGCAGAGCGGCGGTCGGCACGAAGGCACAAGACCGACGAAAGCTAGTCTTCACGCAACCAGCGACAGACTAGTCCCAATGACCAAGTTATACATTAGCAATCGGAGGGAGATACAACGCTATGGTCACTCACCTAGTCCCAATGACCAAGAGGTCGAGATGGGGACTAGGGAGTGCCTAAGGGGGTCCTTATATACTAGAAGGGCTGCTTAGCAACCAAAGACAAGGCGCGAGAGCGAGGCAGTGAAGATGACAAAGGGAGAACAAAGGGCGGGAAGGAAAAGGCAAAGGCATGGTGATCACGGGAACGTAGCATGCGGGTGTGGGAACGTATCTGCAGTGTCCAAACTGGGATGGGCTAAGAAAGGAAATGGTCCGAAAATGGAAGGTGGGCGTCAAGGGGAGGGGAATGGGCGGCAAAAAGGGGCGTCTGTCCAACGTCCGTGACACGTGGCTCGCGCCGCCGCGGAGGTAAGCCCTATCTCACGTCCACATTGGTGATCCTCGCTAATACGCATTCATCCCTGACTGCGGGTATCCCACCGTTCCGCTCCTACGTGCGTATTCGAGCTCAGCGACCGCCCACTTCTACACCACGAACGCGACCGAGATGGATGCCTTCATTAACGACGCGGACCACTACATCTCAGAGGGCGTCGCCGCGCAGATCCTTCCGTCCGCCACCCAAGCTCCCACCGCCGTCCCGCTCTTCCGGATGTACAACACCAAGTCGACGGACTACTTTTACACCGCGAACACGACACAGCGCGACGACTTGCTCAGCCTTGGAAACTACGTGAGCCAAGGTGTGACTGGCTACGTGTATCCGGACCAGGAGTGCGGCACAGTGCCACTGTATCGCGTGGACCAGAGGACGGACCACGTAGACTTCAACTTCTACACGACGGACCAAGCTGAGGTGGACGACTACGTGGACGTGCTGGGGTACAACAATTCCGGAGTCACTGCATACGTGAACCCCCAGTGACAATCACAGTTGGTGATTATTTGCTCTGCATATGCATATATGAAACACATAAATCTCACGACTCTCACAGTGTGATGTGCATCCACTGACCTGTGGCAGGATCGGAGGTTGTTTCTGTTTCTGCGGCGGTTTCATGAGCGATACCTCTTGTAGTAACTGGATGCAAGGGTGCATTTGAAAGTAGACTTGTAAAGCTCACGTAGTACAAGTTAATCTATACGCGCTGGACATGAGATGTCAATGGCCCGGGGATCATCCAGCACATCAGCACTTCCCCGTTTTCATTCGGGTCAATAAGCCCCGTAAGACAAGATACTGTGCAATCAGACGCAAGTTACAATATGGACCCACTGGGCTGTTCAAAATACACACTGTGATCTACAAACTAAAAACAGTAATTATATACAACGGAGAGAACAGGCTGTTGCATAATGCGACCACCTACTAGTACTGACGAACGGAACAGCATCAGGAAAAAATCGGTTTGCGACAGAGGTCTGTAGCGAACGCTCCACACCAACTTCATGAAGAAAGAGCGCCCTCGAATACCGCATCGAGATCATTACCTGCTTGCATGTGTTTGGTCCCGGTGGCGACTAGAAAGCGTCCACTTTTCTTGTTGGGAGGGCACCTGTCCCACGCTCAGTTATTGTCGACACTATTGTGCCTCGCTTGACAGTGACTTTGCCATCAACATGGATGAGGATGAGCATCCTTTGCTCAAGGTTCCCGACTTTCTCAAGAATCACCCTGAGCTTCAAAGCCGAGGAATCAACCTCACGCTGCCGCTGAAGCCGGTGGGTGGATCGCCGTTGAGACGAGGCTCGCTTGCTTCATCAGCAAAATGTCATGGTCTTGAATCTGAACTTGGGCCAAGACCACGGTCTTAGAGCCAAGACCACGGTCTTAGAGCCAAGACCATGGTCTTAGCCTCAAGTCTGCAGTCTTGGTGGTCTTGAGGTCAAGACCATGAACTTGGAGCCAAGACCGTGAACTTGGAGCCAAGACCGTGAACTTGGAGCCAAGACTGTGAACTTGGAGCCAAGACCGTGAACTTGGAGCTAAGACCATGAACTTGGAGCCAAGACCACAGACTTGGCTCTAAGACCATGAACTTGGAGCCAAGACCATGGACTTGGCTCTAAGACCGCGGTCTTAGAGTGAAGACTATTGTCTTTAAGTGCTTAAGCAACTTAGAGTTAAGGGTCAACTTGTCTAAATCAATATAAGAGTATCTAGATCATATAAGGATATGGTCTAGTAATGATCTTATAAACTGCATAATTGTGTATATGTTCAAGATAAGAATGGTCATGAGACCTACTATAGTGTTCAATGCTTAAAGACCATGTTACTTCCATTATAGCACTACAATATTAGAATGACAACCCTACATATGCTATTGCAGGGTACAGTAGTGATCAATAGAAGTCTAGTGGCCCTTAACTTCATAGCAGGTAACACTACTAGCCTTGAAACTGCATTGTTGCAGTACTGAGTAGTGACAATTCTTTCCAAGTCCAACAAAATG